TTTATTTATATAAAAAATGTTATCTAAAAAGATATAAATATATATATATATATATATTATATTTTATTTTATTTATAAAAATATAAATAATTATTTAAATATTATTATATATAGATTAAATATATTTGTATTTATTATATTTATAAAAATATTTTAATTATAATTATATAAATATATTTTATTTTATATAAAAATTATATTTATTTTTATTTCATATATATATATATATATATATATATATATTAAATAAAATTCTATAATATATATTTATATTTAATAAATATTGTTATATTTTAAAAATTTTATTAATTTTTAACACTTTCTAGTAAAAGTGTGCTATTCTGGTAAGTAATAGTTATAGTATACTATCCACATATATTTACTTCAATTGGATCCTATATTTAAAAAAAATGTTACTTTGTATTATTAGTAGATGATATATTTATATGCTCTTTATTTTGTATTTTTTTACGAAGTAACATTTATAATAAATGAGTATCATTAATTTATTTTGTAGCAGTGTTTTTATCTTATATAATTTGATATTATTGTTTTCGATCCTATTTAAATGCTCTTACAACCATTTATTTTTAAATTTAATAATCAAAATTAAACACTATTTTAATTTAATAAATTATTAAAAAATAATTAATAATAAAAAAAGAATATTTTTAATTCTTATTATGACATTAAATAATACATTATCTTATAATTTATATATTAAATTAATATCTTAAATAAAACTAATTTTATTTATAAAATTTAAAATTAAAAAATATATTTTTAAATTTTATTTTTAGTTAAATATTTTTTAATTAATTAATTTAGTATAGATATATTAATAATCTTTAAAAAAAATCAATAAATACAAAATTTATTAACATAAAATTTAATCTATTTTAAAATATAGATCTGGTTAAATTATTAATTTTTTTCTTTAACATGTAATATCAAACCAGACTGAATCACCCATTATTCCCAACCCTACTTATAGTAAATTAAACACGCTTTTAATGTTGAATGCTAAAATATTGTTTAACATGATTTAAATAAATGTTTACAAATTTTGAATCCAAGTTGTGAAATTGATCGAGTATAGAATAAATTTTATAGCTAAAACTAATTAACTTATACATTAGATTAAAAAATCATTAAATTGTAAGACTAACTTAAAAACATTATTCAAACATAAATGACATAAATTTAAGAACAAAGTTAACTAAATAAACTTAATATATATATATATATATATATATATATATATATATATATATATATATATATATATATATATATATATATATATATATATATATATTTAAAATTAGTAAACCTTCAGTTACTCTCTTGATGCATAAGCCGGGTAAAAAGATAACTTATCATATCTGCAGAGGAACTTCGACATTGTCAAAAGTGTAAGTTGCCTTTCCTCTCACCGCATTACCGTCTTCACGGTGAATGGTTTGTTTCAAATTTCCAATACATCATGATTTGAGTACCAAGATTAATGACATGTGAGAGCCAAAACTCATTCACTAGGAGGCTCTGAGTATAAAAACTGTAACAAAAAAGCTTGACCAGGTTAACAATATGTTTCTACACGCTTTATACTCTGGAACTTCCACTTTTACTTCCCTTAGTACCTTTGCAGCATCCTCGGGGAACACAGGATTTATGGACACCCAGTTCCCAGCTCCAAACCCGCATTCCCAATTAGTTTAGGTATTATCAGCATAAACCAATGAGTGAATGCTAATTCTGACCTATTACCATGAAGTGGACTGGGATGAATCATATGGTTGAATGGTGGGAGTGTTCAACTGTGAAGTCAACTTCCAGAGCATTAGTTTCAGAAAACCACCATGTTTAACTGCCTGCAAAATAAATGTCAACAAATAACGATTAACCTTTGGAAACAAGAAACACGAATAAAGGACACATTAGCAGAACAAGTTTATCTGGTTGATAATGGCGTGACATAAGAATACAAGGAGGACCAATTTTATGCTAAAAACCCACAGCATACCAAAATCCACTATGTATACAGCATAACTTAAGCTGCCTATGTGTTTATTACAAGGTTATGCGTTCGTATCCCTACTAACAAAAACAAACATATTAACAACTAATATTTGCCAATTAAGAAAAAGGGATTGTCAATCTCTACTGCCAAATGCATTACTACTGTTGGTCAACATCCATCTTTGAAGCACTGCCTCCAACACAACACCAAGATGTCCAAAATATAAAATGCTGCATGAGAATTAAGATTTATATATATATTCACCTTCTAAAAAAAAGTTAAACTTCAATAACTTTCATGTGATAATCATTTCATAATCCCAAGAAGATGAATAATATCTCTATGAAGTTAAAACAGTAAGTCTTATGATGATGAACCTCAGAAAAAAAGTTATGAGCCTCGCAATATTTGTAAGTTGACTTTCAAAAACAAATTATAGGTTGTGGATATGGGGAACATCACAGCCAGCAGTTTGTTGTCGATATGTGTGATTGTTTCACAATCTATGCTTCTCAGCTTCAGCCTCTCACTACAAATCCCCTAGATGCGTGTCGCCGCCGTCAGAACGAGGCGGTCGGAACGACGCGATGGTTTCGACTCTCTTGATTTTTGCGTTTTTTATTGGTAGTTACAACGCCTTTAGGTTGTCCGATAACCGAGCTGAACCTAGGGGCGAGGTTTTCGAAAGGGTGCTCTTGGATTGTCCGATAACCGGGCTAATCCAAGAGCTAGTTTTTGAGGGTTCTCTGGAGTCGCCACCGATGTTTTTACCTGAAACATCGGAAAAGGAGTTTAAAAGGCGTTGGTTTTCGAAAAACCAACTTTGGTCATTAGAACCAGAGTTGGGTAAGGGAGTTAGTTAGGCGTAAAGGAAGTGTTAGTTCCTTTCCGACGCCCCTTTCGGGTTCCCTATGATAGGCCAGCTATTCTGTTAATAAACCAGAAAAATACGCTTTTGCCCTTTTATTTTGCGGAATTTAAAGATTATGACTACATGGCCCTAATGTCTATTGCGTAATTTAAACAATGCGGTAAAAGATAGAGAAAGAAAGTAGGAACCTCCGAAGCTAGCTTTCTATTGATTCTTTAAAAAATAGGGTGCTTTGCGGCAGCCCTTCACTCTACACGGCGTTGGAAACCTCTCAAAACGCTCTAAAAAACACTCTAAAGACACTCAGAAGCTCCGGAAATGCGTCGGAGGGATTCTAGAGAGAGAAACTAGTGATGTGACTAGAGAGAGAGTGAGAAAGTTGTGAGAAATGAGGGGAAGGGAGGCCCTATTTATAGGGATTCGCGCCTGTCAGGTCGAGACGGCCGTCTCGTCTGACAAGGTCGAGACGGCCGTCTCGACATTCCAGACGGCCGTCTCGCCTTGCAGGAATGGCGAGACGGCGGTCTCGCCTTTTGCAGGTGGCGAGACGGCCGTCTCGCCAAACGAGACGTCGGTTTCGCCACTTGCGCTAGGCGAGACGGCAGTCTCAAATTTGAGACGGCGGTCTCGACCCTAAAAGGCGAAAATCCTTATTTTTGTGCCAAAAAACCCTCCTATCCTAGTACAGGGCCTAATAGTCTCTCCTAGTGGCTTCTTAGGCTTCGTCCATCTTCAGAAAGGAGGTCTTCTGATCTTTATTGTGAGGCCGGACAAGATTTGGGGTCTACAATGCGTAGACTGCTTAGTTCTTTTAAAGTTTAAGAGGACAGTTTATGATTCAAGTCATCAATGATTGAATGTATTCCACAATTAAAAACTTTAGATGAAGGAGTTGTATGAGTTTTATTTTAATTTTTCATAAATAATAGTGGTTTTTGATTGTGGTTTATTAATTGTATTATATATATAATATAAAGTGAGGTTAGACCGTGTTATGCTACGTCCTATATAGCAATGACAGTCCCTATTGCTAAGTGTAATTCACTATTAACAAATATGATACAAGGAAAACCACTGTACAAGATTTTACTTCACTCAGTTTACCACACATGAAGATGACATGAAAAGTATTTGCCACTCGGTAATGTTTATGACACCTAACAGTGACAGTCCCAAAAAAGAACCTGGCATCCCCATTAAAATTTCTAAGCACTGTCCATATCCAATCTCATTATTCAAGCACCAAAGAAATACAGTTATAGTCTAAAATATACTATAGTGGCGATTGGAGCGACTAACCGTCTAACACCATTTCGGATCTAGTTGTTCTATATGATTCTATCACACGCAATCACCCCATATTCGAAATTGGCATCAAGTCCCAGAAAACAACTAATTTAATTCATGCCTTGTATCAGATGCATTTTATTGAAACCATACTAAACATTTTGAAATTAGAATTAATAGGAGTTCTCAAATAATGAAATGATACATTTTCAGCATCCAATTCATGGAATGCAATACAAAGGAAAAATCCACATCTCAAGGAATGTAGTAGCAAAAAGAACCATTGAAAAGATGTTGAAGTTGAAGATGAATCAATTAAAAGATCTTCATGTTAAATTTCACAAATTAAACATTCTCCTGTCCGATCAAAATAATCTTTCATACTTTCAAGACACAGAAACACTAGGTGGAATAAATAGCAGGGCCATCATCTGACTGAGAATGGCTCATTAACCAGCAGAAGCACCATGGTTTTTAAATTAATAACAGCAAGTTTACTTGATATTTAAATAATTAAACAAATGGAAGAAGAAAAAAAATAAATCCAAAATCCACACACTAATTCTTTTCACCTAAAAGGTTTTTTTACCTTGCATTAAAAAAATATAACACAACATATATACCAGTGCATATAATATATGTATTGAAAGCACATATTACATACTATTCTGCGTATGATCAGACATATAGTTGCTCAAAACAAAACAGGAAAAGAACAACATCCCAAGCCAACAAAAGTAATCAAGAGAATACAACTCGTACAATTAACTAGATAGAGTACCTGAGAATTCAGATTCTTTAAATTGACCATCACAGATTTCAGCGCCTTTTACTAAGGGATTTATTATGCAACTCTAGCAAGCCTTGAAGAGATTCCATAGACCACATTTCTTCGTTTTGGGCATATACCTTTTGATTTAGAGAATCTATTATTATGCTGATATTACCAAACCCATATATTTGATGACCGTTGTGCATTCTGCCAGGTTTAAGCTTGAATAGCAAACCATGTTGCTGAGCATGGGCCTCAATGACTTCTTTCAAGCTCAATTCATGCACACCATCTGTGCTGACTGCACCGCCTAAGCTAGCAGCAGCTTGCTGTTGAGCATAGGCTGCTGCTTTCTGTTGAGCCTCAAATTGCCTCTGCTCAAGTACCCTAAGATAGCTTATATTCTCCTTTAAACCTGGTTGGACCACCTCCATACCTTCAACAGCCTGGTTCATCATATCAAGACCACGATTAAGCTGGTACCGGATACTTTCATTTGCCAACAATTCTTTTGGAATGAGTTCTTTCCATCCCAAATACCATTTTGTAACTTCTTCAAAATTAGGATTTGAGCACAACCAATGATAAAGAACCTGAAGCCATTTGGCAAAGAAGAATTTTTCCATCATATCAACCATCAGGTGAACAGGAATAGCAGAAGCCCAATTCATTACCCAATAAAACTGATCAAGATTCTGACTTGCTGGGTTCACTTGGAAGTCTTGCAAGACAAGCTGCAACTTTGGTACAATAAACCGTAGCATAAGCTGTTCCCAACTAGCAGAATCAAATACAGATTTCCAAGGAGACAATATAGCATAAGCAGAACCATCACTTGGGTGCCAGGCACCAAGAACAGTACTCAATTTAAAACGAATCACCTGATAAATACCCTCCAACTTCTGCCCCAGCAGAGGTAGCCATGGATGCACCCATGTGTGAATTGGAATGGTCTCACGGTGTGGTTCCCATGTATCTACAGCACTAGATAGTTTTGGCATGACTATATTGTCTAATATGTTGGCAAGGATTGATTGAGGGAGTAACTTTTCCCACAATTCCAGAAACCATAACATCGGTTCAGGATCCCGTGCCTGCCAGGTATTTATACCAGATATCCTGACAGCTGGCAATACAACCTCTGAAATCAATTGAGTATAAGGTGATGATACATCCCATATATCGACTGAATCTTCTGCTTGAAGCAATGCCCTCCACTTTGAAACTAACTCCAACCCATGAGACGGATTTCGAAGAGGATCCCATCCTTGGAACACTCTGATAAAAAGGGGTATAGCATATGAACAAGCAATGCATGACAAGTTACACAACTTGTAGTTATCAGCACATCTTTTGTGTAAATCTCTAAAGCATTGAGCAAGGGACTCCAATGTTAATGTTCCCAAAGTGTTTTCTTCTCCAACACGGTCTAAAACATGCATTATTTCTTCCATATTATCCAGCTGCTTCTTTTGAAATGCTGCCTCAGTTTCTAACTTCTCTTTTTCTTTTTTCAAGCTAAGTGCTGTCTCCCTCTCTCTCCTCAAATCTCTATCGATCTCTTGGATGTCAGCCTCGGCCAACCGAACTATTAACGCTACATTATGCTGAAGTTCTGGCATTGGGATATCATTTTCTTTTGCTTTCTCCTCGGCATTCAAATCAGACAAATTTGTTAATACCCGAACCTGTGGCCCCCTCATATCATAAACCTTCTGAACAACCTCCAACTCCTGTTCTTGCTTGCTTGCCAACAACTCCTCAGCAGTTATATACTCTTCCTCCTTTTTTTTCTTCAACCTTGCTTGCTTTGACCATAGCCTTTCTTTTGTTTTGCTAACCACAGTTTGGGAGACTTCTTGCACATTCTTCTTCTCTTGCTGCAAAACAGGCACTGGCATAGTCTCCTTAGACTCATTAAACCCTATGCCAGAATTCTTGGCCCTCAATTTAGCCTCAATAGGAGCCACAATACCCTGCTCATTCTTCCCAAGCCCGCCTCCTTTATAACCCATCTTCTCCAACAGCTTCAAGCCTATCCCTTTTGTATGCTTCTCAAATTTCCCCACATCACTAAACCCATCTTGAGCTAAACTCTGATGCTTCCCTCTCTTCTTCTCCATCCTCTCCTTCTCTCGTTCCCTTTCCCTTCTCATCGCCCCCTCCTTAATCTTCTTCCCAAATGCTGTAGGCAAGAAATTATCATGACCATTCTCATCAGAATCATCATTTCTTTCTGAACCGTTAGCAGCGTTACCAGAATTAAAACCTAAACCAGGCCCAGAGGTACTACCAGACCCCATACCAAAACCTAAACCTAACCCCGGCCTATCCTCACTAACATAACCTTCTTTCTCATTCTGATCTTTGGACTTATTATCATTCTCCTGATTGGGCATAAATGTGCCCGTAGACACAAAATTGACAGGCTTGGTTAGGTCTGCCTTCTTTGAAAAATCACGGTCCTTCCTCCGTTTTCTACTTGGATAATCATCATCATCATCAGAATCTGCAAAAACTCCAAAAAGAACATCATCCTTGGTCTGAGTGCGTTTTTCTTTACGACTCTTGTAGTAAAACTCGTCACCAATCCATTGACCACCTTCATAATCATTATCCATTCCGAACCTCTCCATCTCTTGATCTTCATCCATGTTTTAGGGAAGATAAACCTGTAAACTTTTTAAATAAAAGTAAGTTTACAATCTGGTGAAGTTACACAGTACATTCCCCTTCCCAGATTTCGTTTTCCAGACCAAAACTGAAAACCGTGGAAGTAAAATAAATAATAATAAAAAAGGTGTATGAGCAGAAAAATGGGCACAAAAATCAATGAAAATTTGAAAAGGTAAAGTGTAATGAAATCTAAGTGGAGTGGTGACACAGCTGTTGAAGATGATATGCCTGAAAACCAATGGCTGTGAAGCTCAATGAAACATGAGTGTGTATATAACCGACATAAATATGAAGACAAACAAGTTGTGCTCAAAAGTAACTTTCAATTGTTGCATTTGAGAAGCTTACTCCAAGTTATATATGCCTCCTTGCAGTGCTCAACGTCATTTACGTCAGTCATGAATAAAATAATGATTTAGAATAAAACAAAACGTAATTCCAACGAAAAGCTAAATCATTCACACATAACAATCAGCAAAACAAACAAATAAACAAAGATAAGAAGTGCCAGATTCAACATTCAACAGAGTCCGAGCCAGATGAAAACTAAACTTGTTTCGTTCAGTTTAAATTCATTTCACCGCAAGTGAAATTGCACATGAAAATGAAGCAATTCGCATAATCCGAAGGACAATATTAATATGCATAGCACTCGAAAAATAATAAAATTATACACCTTATCTGAATAGAAAAAGTTCCCTCCAAGTTAACACATCAAAACTAATAAGTTCCTTTTCATTTAAACTCCGGTATTTTACTTTACTTCTGAACCAAAGCACAGAATTACACATTTTCTTCCAGCAATTTTTTCTCTAAACATCTCCTTGATAAAAAAGGTAATAAAATGAACTACGATGGGTTTAGGGCTTACCTTGAGAAACCGCGGAAGGAGATATAAAGTAGTGCGGAAGCAGAAATTGCGAGCTTGAGTTGAAAGAGCAATAACGAGATATTCAGAATAGGATTGAACGAAGGAGGATGTGATTGCCGTTGATTAGGGTTCGTGAGGAGATTGTGAAAGGGATTGGGTTTGGGAATAATGAAGAGAAAGTGGAAATTAGATGAGTTGTGAAGAGAGATTGAGAATGAATTAATTGAGAGAGCGTCATCGACGAGTCTGGCGGTGGATGAATAAAATGTGCTTTGGAGGTAAATAGAGTACGGTAATGGTGGAATTGGAGAACGGAACAATGTTAGGTTATAGTTTGATTTCAACTTCGAAACTTTTTTGCTTCAGTATTGTTTTAGGATATTTCTTTTAAAATTAGTTTATATATATATATATATATATATATATACATATATATATATATATATATGATATATATATGATAATATGTAAAATTTATCTTATATAATTTTTTAAATTAGTATTCAATTGATATAAAGATTAAAAGATATACGTATACTAAAAAATTATACATTTGCTGAAAAACTTAATTTAGAAAATCAAAACTTTAGGTAACTAAAATTACACAGCTTAAATATTTAGAAGGTAACAATTTGTAATTAACACAATTTTTTTTATATTATAAAAGATAAAAGGTTTACGACATATTAATTATTTAAGATTATATAACGATATTAAAGTCTAAAAACATATCCATACCAAACAAGAACAATGTTCGTATTATATATATATATATATATATATATATATATATATATATATATATATATGTATATATATATATATATATATATATATGATATATATATATATATATATATATATGTATATATATATATATATATATATATGATAATATGTATATATATATATATATATATATGATAATATGTAAAAGTTATCTTATATAATTTTTTAAATTAGTATTCAATTGATATAAAGATTAAAAGATATACGTATACTAAAAAATTATACATTTGCTGAAAAACTTAATTTAGAAAATCAAAACTTTAGGTAACTAAAATTTCACAGCTTAAATATTTAGAAGGTAACAATTTGTAATTAACACAATTTTTTTTATATTATAAAAGATAAAAGGTTTACGACATATTAATTATTTAAGATTATATAACGATATTAAAGTCTAAAAACATATCCATACCAAACAAGAACAATGTTCGTATTTTAAAAATATTTTTACGGATATATAAAATTAGTTTTATTTCGTGTTTCAATATTAGAAGGAAAATGGTAAAATGTTTAATAAATAAAATGGGCTACAAAAACTGTTTATAAAATTTTATATTAGATTAGTATGTTTTTAACTTATGTAATTGACAGGAAAATTTATTTATTTTATATAACTAAAATTTATAATAAAATAAAATCTTAATAAAAATATCAAACAATTCTTTAAATATTTTATTTTTAAAAAATTATGACAAATCAATTATATTTTGATGTGAGATTAATTTTAGCTATTGGTAAACTTAATTTCAAAATAAAAACAATAGTTAAAAATTTTTATTTAAACCCTATTGTCGTTCGCAGTCCGGTCGAGCTGACGCGATGATTTTGATGACTCGCATTTTTTAAAGAAGTGGTTCAACACCTTTAGGTTGTCCGATAACCCGGCTGGACCTAAAAGTGAGATTTTAAAAAAGGTTTGAGGAGTCGCCACCAATATTTTTACCAAAAACATTGGAAAAGGAAAAGAAGGCGATGGTTTTTAAGAAAAACCAACTTTGATCATTACAACCAGAGTTAAGTAAGAGAGTTAGTTACGTGTGGGGAAGGTATTAACTTCCCCACGGCGCCCCTTTCGAGTTCCCTATGATGGACTGTTTTTATAAAGAAATAAGAACATTAAAATTACGCTTTTATCCTTATTTATTCATTGCAAAAATTAAATTATCGACTACATGACCCTTAATAACTAATGCACAAGGATAGTATCTAATAAAATCAATAAAATAGAATAAGAGATATGAAAGAACCTTCGAAGCAAGCTTTTTATAAAATATTCTTGAAAAAGGCGTTTTTCAGCAAACCCCACGCTTTACAATGTAGCTCACTCTCCTCTCACAGCACTTTAGAACGCTTTTTAAGAACTCTAAGACTTTGAAAATGCTTCAGAGGGGTTCTAGGAGAGTATTTTGAGGAATATGCAGTTGAAGAAGTTGTAGAAGGTTGTTGAAAACGAGGAGAATGCCCCCCTTTTATAGAAATTTGCACCTGTCAGGTCGGGATCGTCGTCTCACCTGACAAGGTCGGGACCGCAGTCTCGCCTTTGGCAAGTGGCGAGACGGTGGTCTCGCCCTTAGCCAACGACGAGATGGCGGTCTCACCCAGCAAGATGGTAGTCTCGATCCTTTGGGTGAAATTTCTTATTTTTCATGTACAAAAAGTCTTCCTATTCTAGTATGAAGCATATTGATCAATCCTAGGGACCTTTAAGGCTTTGCCCATCTTCGAACGAAAGTCTTTTGCTCTTTATTTTGAGGTCACACAAGATTTGGGGTCTATAGTTGCCCCCCCCCTTCACCTAACTAGTTGACTGTTGGCTCAATATACCAAAATGATCGGCTAGAGGGTGAAGGAGTTGACCCTCTTGCCTGGTTGTCCTTCGGTTGCTTCCCCCGTTGTGGTAGCCGACCTTCTGGACATTGAATGTGATCCTCCGGGATGTTCCTCTGATGCGGTAGCTGACCCCTTTGATTGTAAAATTTGGTTTAAGCCCCCTTTTGTAAGGCTTGATGAGTACGCACCCTCATCTGGTTGTTGTAACCTTGGGATGCTCCTTTGATGCGGTAGCTGACCCCTTTGGTTGTAAAGTCCGGTTTAAGCCCCCTTTTGTAAGGCTTGATTGTTGAAACATACAAGGATATGAATGTTGAACATACAAGGATATGAAGCTTGTAGATTTTGATGATGATACAAGAATAAAGGATTTAAAGATTTGAAGACTTATAATGTTTTGTAATAACTCTGTTTTTATGATTTTGAGTCTGTAATATTAGAGTCCAAGATAGTCAGCACATGGTCCACTCTTTAAAGGCTTTAAAACTCATTTTTATCAAAATCATACTGGATTAATCGATTAAATAGCAGGATAATCAATTATTACAGAGAGAAAACCATTTTTAGTATCTGCTCTCTGGAATAATCGATTAAACACCCTATTAATCTATTAACTAGGATGTTAATCGATTAAATGCCCTGTTAATCGATTAACTGGAGCTGTTTTGGGTTCTCTGTGAATTTGGCTCTGGAATAATCGATTAACACTCAAGATAATCGATTATTTTAGTCAGATATGTGTTTTGAAATTCAAAATTGGACCAAGTTTCGAAAACCCTATTCCCAATTCATTTGTTTTCGAAAATCCCCAATTCCCAAACCCTAATCTTTCTACTTAAGGTTCTCTAAGGCTCTCTGCAAATTGAACAACATTTTTCAAACAAAAGTTAAGAGTTGTGACTGCCAGAGAACTGTTTGTTGGGAGGAAAAAGGGGCTTTTGAAACCTAGTGTGGGCTAGAAGCGATAAGAATCACTGAGTGTGTTTTCTTGGTGGATTGTGTGTTGTGCCGTCTCTAGGGAAAACTGTTCTTCATCCTTTGTGGATTCAAAGGAGGTGTTCATCTCTTGTGTGACTCAAGAGAGGTGTATTCTTTACCTTATCTTTTCATTTGTAATCTGCTTGTATAACTGTGATTATAATGACAACGTTAATCCTTTGTTTGAGTGATTAACAACTAGACGTAGGGTCTTTTGATCCGAACCAGTATAAATCGACTGTGTAATACTCTATCCCTTCTCTATTTACTTTACACAACATTTTAATCGGTGAAATTTGGGAAAAATTTTGAAAACCCTAATTTTTATTAAGAAACCAATTCACCCCCACTCTTGGTTTTTGTCCGTAAACGCAAACATTCTGCCGCGCGATTCTAACAAGTGGTATCAGAGCTTGCTTTGATAGTCATTCAATTTTCGAAAATGGCCGAACAAAATCAAACGTTTGCCGAGGGTACTTCTATTAATAGACCCCCATTTTTTGCGGGGCA